ATCTCACATTGATGGAGCTTGCAATATTGGATTTTAACATGGTCCAGGCTATCCACCTTCAAGATCTAAAATATTCATCAAGGTATCATTCCTTTCTTAATTACGAGTTAATTAGCCATTTATTCCTTGTATATATACATGACATATATACATATCTATAGGCCCATTCTTTTTAAGTTGTAGAAGAAGCTTGTTTAGAAAACACGCATTCATATTGGAATATCGTTTATACATACAAATTCACAAATGAACACCTAAAAGGTTCATATAGAAACGTTGTTCACATATAAACAGATGTTAAATGCATAATGCATATAATCGTGTTTATAATKTTCAAATATGAAGAAGACCTRCAAGTTTTGATGACATTAACTGCCAATGATATAGAGCTATGAATTGAATATATAGGTGGTGGAGAAATACATGTTGGGATAAGAAGTTAAGCTTTTGTCGAGACCGGTTGGTGGAGAACTTTCTGTGGACAGTTGGTGTTAATTACCTACCTAAGTTTAGCCTTGGAAGGAAAACGCTAACAAAGGTTAACGCCATGATTACTACTATCGATGATGTCTATGATGTTTATGGTACTTTGGACGAACTTCAAAAATTTACCGATGTTACCACCAGGTAAATATATTAATTAATCGTTGTTACTTCCATTTGAATCAAATGCTTATCGATCAATTAGTATTTAATTTGCATATATAATTTCATGAAATCTGACGATTAAAAAGAAAATTTGAATGCGTAGATGGGATATCAATGCGATTGAAGAACTCCCGGATTATATGAAGATTTGTTTCCTTGGATTCTACAACACCATAAATGAGATCACATATGATAATTTGACAAACACAAGATTACTCATCCTTCCATACCTAAAGAAAGCAGTAATTAATCCAATTTTGTTAATTAATATTATGTTCAATTTCTTAATTTGTGATCAGATACGAATCTAAACTTTCTTAATTATTTTGGAACAGTGGGCAGACTTATGCAAGTCATTCCTAGTAGAAGCAAAGTGGTACCAAAGTGGACATACACCAACACTCCAAGAGTACTTAGACAATGCTTGTATATCGGTATCTGGTCCTACAATACTCATGCATTGTAATTTTTTAACATCTATGACTTCAACGCAAGAGATCTTGCAATGCATGGAAAGAATTGACAACATTGTTCGCTACTCATCACTAATCTTTCGACTTGCAAACGACTTGGGGACATTCTCGGTAACTATATATATATATATATGTATTATTCGTTTAAAGATATTGCTTTGTTAATTTACCAAAAAATACTTATTGTAGGAGCGCAAATGGTCCTTAATTTTTTTTGGGTTTACCGGGTCATGTATTATCTTTTCAATCTTATTTTTTGCATGGTCTATCTTTTTAGTGTTTTTTGATTAGTAGTTTTCTGTTTTTTAAAAGGTTGTTTAAGAGCCTAAGTTTAATTTTTAAGTAGCTCCCTTCTTTTTGGTGTGAAGGAGTGAGTAAATAGCTCTATGAACGAATGGATCAGATCAATTTGAAAAATGGAAATATTTTGCAAACTCTGAGTACTAGATATGACCTTAAAATAACTTCCCTATGAATAGTCATCCAAGTATTTCCAGTGAATGGCAAAGCTTTTAGTTGTTTTTTCTTCTGTTCTTTTCTTTTCATTTCTATCAAATTAACTTTCAGATCGATGTTTCCAATATATAAATACTTGTTAATTTCTTTATTATACTTACTAATAACAATATACATTTTGTCATTATTAATTCAATGATTGTATTTTGTTTCAAATATAAAATACTAACTAACCATAATTAATTATTAGGACGAAATGGCAAGAGGGGATAATCCAGAAGCAATTAATTGTTACATGAATGAGACTGGTGCTACCGAAGCCGAAGCTAGAAGTTATATGAAATTGTTAATCAGCAAGACATGGAAGAAACTTAACAAAGAAGTAACAGGTGTTGCAGGTTCTCAATTTTTACAGGAGTTCGTTGACTGTGCAACAAACCTAGCTAGGATGGCACAGTTCATGTATGGTGAAGGAGATGGGTTTGGTCGTCCAGAACTAGTGACTAAATCTTATATATTATCGTTGTTGTTTAATCCAATCGAAGGTCTACATTAACTAATAGCCAAGACTGTTTATCTTTCATTAATTAGAGATCATCTAGGGAATTGATCATTTCCAAAATTAAGTGACATCATGTTGCTKAACTAATGYTGKGCTTGACAGTTAAGTTGGATTATTCTTGAAAGTAATATTAATTGGTGTTTGTTGTTTGTTGAATTTTTCTTAATCTTGAACTTAGCATTTGATATAACTTATGGTTGCATGATTGTTTAAATATTGCTAAGCATTCAAACACTCATATTAATTTATAGGGCAAAATGCATAAAATAGCAATCTACTTTCATAATTTTTTTTATTATAGCATTGTACTTCCAGTTTTTCTTATTACAACAATGTACTTTCAAACTATTTTTTATTAGACATTGTACTTTGAAAAATTTACCCATTATAGCATTGGATAACCTTTTGATTTAAATTTACCCATTATACCAGGTTTCCATGTCACCTCATTGTCCACCTAGGCTGTCCACGTATACCATAGTGATGTGACTTTCTTACTACATCATTTTACTTTCAAAATTATTTTATTATAACATCTACTAGTTCTTATTAAACACTGTAGTTTTAATTTTGACATTTATATATTTTACATGTTATTTAATAAATAGATTAAAAAATTCTAAATTATTCATTAATATACCGGTATCAATAAAACTAGTAGAACACAACTTAGCTCACTAATATTTTTTTAAAAATATATGTTTTTTGAAAAAAGAAAATAAGAATTGTTTCTTTTTTACCAAAAAATATTATCTTTTAAATAACATATTATATTTGTTCAAAAACTTTTAATTGACGTATACATATATTAAATTAATTAGATATAGGGTTACTCTCGTTCTATTTTTTTAGGATCTTGTTGAAGAATTATATAGATCTTTTCTTCTAAAAAGACCACGAAAATTAGATCGACTTTTTATGTTGATCAAACATATGTAAATAATTCAAATACTTCATCGATTTATTTTCAAAGAATAAAGTGTTACACATTACCAATAAATTTTTAAAAAAAAAATAGTTTAATCAAATACTTCAAAATTCTTTTTATATTAAACCATCGTAAAACCCCTGGAACACGTTACCCTTTGCTACTCATGACTCATCTTTGGACTTGTTGATGACTTAGCGACACCTTCGATAACTATTTATTTTTATTTGTATTTTCGGTTATTCATACATTATATTATATTTAATTTTGTTTGAAATATGAAAATGTATTAATTTTCCATTAGTACTAAATTAACTTAAACGATAACTATTATTATATATGTTAAATAAGAACGAAATGGCAAGAGGGATAATCCAAAAGCAATCCAAAGTTACTTGCATGAGAGTGGTGCTACTGAAGACGAAGCTAAAGCCAACAAGTTATATAAATACGTTAATCTGCAAGACATGGAAGAAACTAACAAAGAAGTAGCAGTTAGTTCCTAGTTCTTACAAGAGTTTGTTGACTGTGCAACAAATCTAGCTAGGATGGGTCTATCGTGTATTAGAAAGGAGACGGTCAAGATTGTCCACATGTGACTAAATTTCACATATTATCGTTGTTGTTTAATCCAATCCAAGGGCTACATAAATTAATAGCCAAAAATTAAAACCACAAGGGTGGTGCCCGATTGGTTCGAGCTTGGGCTCCAAAGGTAAAAAGTGACTAGAGATCCCAGGTTCGAATCCAAGAAGAAATAAAAATCCCTTGTAGCTACGGAGGTTCAAATGCGGTGATTCCGGGCCCGCGGATGATCGCCCTGAGATTAGTCGGCTCGTATAAAGGGTTGGATATCCGGTTTAATTAAAAAAAAAAGAATTAATATGTGTTATAGAGATACCCATAATACCGATAGAGCCCATTATTCTTAAAGGTTGGTTCAAGTCTCACCATGAGGAGTGTGAAATGTGAATGAGTATCATATGCTCTTTCTTCTCCTCTACAAATAGCATTCATGAAGAAGAGGAAGAAAAGGCGGCCATAGAGATGAGGAAGAAACGTAGCCATGTCTAACCGATTTCTCTCTGTGATTGCTTGTTGTTGTCTAACGGTTCCTGTTTTGTGATTTCTTGAACCAGCGATTTCTCAATACATGGACCAGTGATTTTGTTTGTGATTCTTGGACCTTAAATCAAATTATAGTGATTGACATGGACCAGTGATTTCTTCATGAAGCTGTTATTTTATCTCGGACCTGTGATTTCTCAACATCTCGTTGGCACTGTCTTGTTCATGTTCTAGTTCAAGCAATAGTTGTCTAAAGTAGTGATTGACATGGACCTGCGATGCTATCCTTGTTTCTATAAAAGAGAGGGGAAGAAAATGATTAAACTAGAACCCTTAAATTAAATTGCAGTGGTTGAACTAGTAAATCTAGTTGTTTTGCTCTCGATTTTGCGTTCATCGGTCTTCAATTCTCCAAAAACTTGAGCTTTCCTGTCACTTCCAGATTTAAGTTTTTTGATATAGGGTAAGTTTAGAAGAAGAGATCCCGTAATTAAAGCATAATCAACTGATTCATCTTGTGTTTTTGTAAAAATATTTAATAGTGTTGTAAGATGTGGTGAATTTATGTTGTTTTACATGGTTTCTAATTGAAWCTGACATCAGAAAATTGAACTATTTGGTAAAGAAACACTAAACAGCTTACTAGGGTAAATAAGTAATTTAACCTGTCTTGTCATATCTAGTCCAATCCTGACAARTCTTACCAAATGTTGAACAACTGTCTTGTCCTATCCTGTTCTGTTTTGACATGTCTCATCATGTCYTGTCTGTGTACCAAACACATCCTAAATGAAAGGGGATATTGAAACAAATTGTGAATCATATTTGGAAGATAATCATCACTCCATTTATCCCTTAAATTCGCCCTATCTCGCTCTCTTCTCCCCAGACTCTTTCTTTTTCCAAAGTAATAGTTTAAACAAAGTTCATTGGTGAATCCAAAGTTCATAAGTGAAATTAAAATTCATATGTGAAACAATGATTTTTGTTTAAAGTTTTCGTAATGTTGTTTCATATATGAACTTTGGTTATTCCAAATTCTTTACCAAAATTCATTACGGTTGGTTAGGATGGTAATTTGTTTCAAAACGATAAGTAAATTAGATAAAAAAGGAATGTGATATCAATATATGAAAAGGGATGAAAATACCTCAATTAGCACAGTTTGTATTAATTAGGCAGTTAAAAAAAATATGTATGTATGTATGTATATATATATATATATATAGAGAGAGAGAGAGAGGACGTTTCAAATGCAACTCATCACATTTGTACAACCAATGCAACCCAATAAATTGAGATATTTATGGAAATGATGAAAGTTCATTTATTATTATTTGAATATTTATGGAAGATAACTAAAGTTCATTAATTATGATCAATACTTTATATTATAAAACAATCTAAACTTTTATGTAATCACATATTCATCAAATTAAATGGACGGTTGAGAATGAGTTGTATTGGTTGTACAAATGTAAAGAGTTGCATAATAACCCACCTCTCTCTCTCTCTCTCTCTATATATATATATATATATATATATATCTATATATATATATATATATATACGGGTTCAAACGAGAACAGTATGCATGTGATTTTACATTAACATCACATACAAAATCACATGTGATTTTGCACGTGATTTAGCCGTTTTCGTATATATTCTTAAATAGTTAGCAA